TGGTCAGGAGACTGTTGGTCAGGAGTCTGTTGGTCAGGAGACTGTTGGTTAGGAGTCTGTAAGTCAGGAGACTGTTGGTCAAGAGACTGTTGGTCAGGAGTCTGTTGGTAAGGAGCCTGTAAGTTTGGAGTCTGTTGGTCAGGAGACTGTTGATCAGGAATCTGTAGGTCAGGAGACTGTTAGTCAGGAGACTGTTAGTCTGGAGACTTTTGGTCTGGAGTGTGTTGGTCAGGAGTCTGTTGGTCGGGAGTCTCTTGGTCAGTAGTGTGTTGATCATGAGTCTGTTGGTCAGAAGTCTGTTGGTCAGAAGTGTGTTGGTTAGGAGTCTGATGGTCAGGAGTATCTTGGTCAGGAGTGTGCTGAACACGAGTCTGTTGGTCAGGAGTCTGTTGGTCAGGAGTTTCTTGGTCAGGAGTCGGTTGATTAGGAGTCTGTTGGTCAGGAGTCTGTTTTCAGGAGTGTGTTGATCACAAATCTTTTGGTCGAGTCTTGTTAGTCAGGAGTGTGTTGTTAGTAGTCTGTTGGTCAGGAGTCTGTTGATTAGGAGTCTTTTGGTCAGTAGTCTGTTGGTCACGAGTCTGTCAGTAAGGAGTCCGTTGGTCAGGAGTCTTTTGGTTAGGAGTCTGTTGGTCAGGAATATGTTGGTCAGGAGACTGTTGGTAAGGAGTCTGTTGGTTAGGAGTGTGTTGGTCAGGAGTGTGTTGGTCAGAAGTCTGTTGGTTAGGAGTCTGTCCTGACAGAGGGTTACTTAAGATGGTTTTAGAACACTCTGGTAAAACCAAACCTGATGACACAAAAAGCAGTATTGCTGAATCTCTGAAGAGCTTTTTCAACTCCGAGTTGACTTTTGACACATTTGTTCCCACAGGAGCGCTACGAAGCTGCAATCAAGAGGTCTACCAAGAAGACGTGGGCCGAGATCCGCCAGCAGAGGTGGTCTTGGGCCAGCGGACTCAACCAGACCTCCCGCAGAGAGAGTGAGTCTCACTATGGGCCCAGATACATGACACCCTCTCTAGCAACTCTGACTCACTGCTTCAGCTGTTGCAATGCCAGGAAATATCCTGTGACGAAGGTGTGGCACCTACTGACCCCCCCACCCCCGTCATTCCTTCTGTTAGTAGTGATGGTTCTTTAGTTCTGCACCAGAGGCTAATGACACCCCCGAATATGTGTGTTTCATCTCAGCTTAAGGTTTTTCCACCACCCCACCCCAAACCTTCCCCCCGCCTCCCTGTTTCCTAGAGCCTGAGTGAAACATTCAGAGAATGGCGCATGCCTGTTGACAGCTGTGATCCGGGCTGAGGGGGCCATGTCGGGCCCCAACTGGGCCTCCCCCCTGGCCCTCCTGTGAACAGTTGTTGTGTGTTGCGTTCTCTCTGGTGCAGGCAGATGCTCGGCCTCCACGGTCAACCTGCCGAGACAAGCGGACCCTGTCCTTAACAACCGGCTGTCCAAGTCCTCGGCCACGCTCTGGAACTCCCCCTGCAGAAGTAAGGACGAGCCGGCATCAGTGTCCACCAGACCCCGCCTCTTCATCCCTCTTCACACTCTGATCTGGCTTTCTTTGGCTCCTACGTGTTGTCTGTGGTGGCCTGCCTGCCTGCCTGTGGTCATCCCCCCGCTCACGCTGTCGGCCCGTGTGCATCGTGGGTTTTGATTTGAGTCCTTTTGCATTTTTGATCGGCCTTCTTCCACTTTAAACAAGTGGTTCCCGACCATGGTCCTTGAGGAACACCATCCTGTATGTTTTAGTTGTTCTATTTCATCCCTACTTGACCGCCAGAGGTGGTGCTTAAAGCACTGAATGATCATTCTTTCGCATGCGCAGGTCAAGTATTTTATGCCAACATAGTCACGTGTGACCCCCGGGACACCGGTGAGTCTATATAAGCATTTGACAACGGTAGCCCAGTCCCTTTCATCTTCTCGCATGCAGGTGGTAATAGGTTTACTTTTTCTGCTTGACGCTGGTAACCTCGAGACTACGGTCGGAGATGCGGGACTGCCTCACCCTCCAGAGGCTGCGCAAGCTGGTATCCTCTAAATGATTGTACTTCAACTGGTAAGTTATTTGTTTCTGTTGACCCAGCGGTAGCGCGTTCGCTAGCCGCATCGGGTTTCCTTATTGGCTGGAAGTACGTTTTTTAGCCGTTTTTTTTTCTTAGTTTACATCAAGCATTGCAGCCGCGCTCGTGCTTTCTTGTTTTCAGTTGCTGGTGTAGCAGCCGTGTTCGGCTTCGCCCCACCTTTACCTTTTCATGCTTGCGCTCATATTGTACAGCTGTGTCAGCTTGCTGTTTGTTACATTGTAGCCATTTTCGTGCCTGCCTCTCATTTACATAGTTACAGCCGTGTTCGGCTTGACTTTATTTTGTTACATTGCAGCCGTTTTTCGTGCTTGCATTTCCTTGAGTTGTACGGCCGTGTTCGGCTTGCCTTTTTTCATTAGTGCGGGCGTGTTTGTGCTTGCATTTTTTCATTATAGTGCAACCTTGTTCGCGCTTGCATTTTTTCATTATAGTGCAGCCGTGTTTGTGCTTGCATTTTTTCCTTATAGTGCAGCCGTGTTTGTGCTTGCATTTTTTCTTGAGTTGTGCAGCCGTGTTTGACTTGCCTCCCTTTCTTTAAATTGCAACTGTGTTCATGTTGCATTTTTTTATCTGTGGCTCTATGGCAGTCATAGCACTTCTGGCTGCTTTTATAAGCCAGCAGCTGGGGAACCCCTGGTGGCGTATTCTGCTCGACCGGGTTCCCTGGTCCATTCGCTCATTGACTCCAGCGTCAAGAGTGGCGTTTCCTGCTCGACCTGACGCTTCTAGTCCTGTGAGCCATAAGATGCTGGGAGAGCAGTGCTGCAGAGCCTGTTTGGCCCCTCTCCAGTTGGAGGATGGACATGATCTGTGCCCCCCTTGTTTGTGGCTGGATCATCTGAAGGAGGCCTTGACGGAAGCGGCCTGCCCCAATTGTTCTGTTTTGCCCTTGTCCCTGCGGGCAGCTCGTTTGGCTGGTTCTGAGATTGCAAGACAGCCTGTAAAGCGTGTGGCCCCAGAGGCCTTGGGGCCTACACGAAAAAGGACCAAGAAAAGCTCCAGGGGCTCAGAGGGACTATCTGGGGAAGTGGCCCATCTCACCTCTGAGCTGGAACAGATGAAGGTGCTGCTTGAGTCCCTTAGGGAAGGGGGCAATGCAGATCTGACTGGGGACCCTGACATGGGACAGAACATGGACTCAGGGGCCTCTGCTTTTGAAGAGGATGCAATCTCCCTGGCAGCATCTGGAATTGATTTTCAAGAGAAGTTTTCTTTAAATGTCCTTCTGCTAGGTCGTCCTTTATGGTGCCCCCTTCGGCTGAATACATAAAGGAGGTACATGCCTGCTGGATGGATACTAAGGCTTTCTCACGACCGACCGCAGATGGCAGGGCCCTGGCGGCCATGCAGGATGCGCTCAAGTTTGGCTTGGGCCATATGACTTTTGTCGAACCTGCCATAGTGTCCCTCATTGTGGCTCTGGATGAGGCTTTGAGGGCTAATGCCAGGTGCCCTCATCCTCAGTGCCGGGTCACAGATGACCTGCTCTGTAGAGCTTATGACTCGGGGTCTCGATTGGGGCGACTAGGTAACTTGCTGTCGCATTTGTTACTGGGCCTCTTGACCTCCTTGGAGGACTTGGCTGTTGATGCGCCTACTCAAGGCCTGATGGACGCTTCCCTTCATGCCTTTGCTCTTTTTCCAAAGGAGATTGGCCATGTGTTATCTACCTTTGTCCAGGCACGTCACCAGGTTTGTCTGGCACAGTCTCCCCTGACTGAACCCTGTAGGAGTACCCTAATGAGTCTTCCTGTGGTTCCTGGGGAGCTGTTTGGTTCTGCTGCACTTGTGGCCTTGGAACGTTCATCCCAAGCCACCCGTACTAGACAGCAATTGTCTGGCCTTCATTGTAGACGCTCTCGGTGTCCTGTTCGAAGTTCTTCTGTGTCCTCCTCACGCACTTATCTGGCCCCGCCTACACCCTACTCGTTTGGCCATGGCTTCAGCCAAACGAGTAGGTGAACTACATGCGTTGTCTGTTCACGAGCACTGTTGCCGTTGGAACCTGGCTGGTTCAGGTGGTACACTCTGGCCTAACGTAGAGTTCATCCCTAAGGTGGCCTCATTTGTGACTCACTCTCTGCCTCTCTAGCTTGCTCGCTTTGATGCAGATGGTGCTGACGATCCTCTCTGCCCTGTTCGGGCACTGGAAGCGTTCGTCAGACGGACAGCTTCTCTGCGGCAGTCTGATAATATGTTCATTTGCTATGAAGGGCCTCGCAAAGGGCAGGCCCTTTCAAAGCAGCACCTTGCACGCTGGATTGTGGACTTGGTGGAACAGACGTACACTCTGCAGGGCCACCAGCCACCTGTAGGGGTACGATGCCATTTCACCAGGAGCGTTAGCGTGTCATGGGCCGCTATGAATTCGGGTTACTGTACGGTTGCAGCAGCCTCCTGGTCATCCCCAAATACCTTTGCTAGGTTCTACAGGGTAAACCTGGCTGCCTTTCACCCGTTGGAGGGGATCCATTTCACAGCACCCATCATCTTCTCAGTAAGGTGGGCATACTTAAATTTTGTTTCTTCTTGTTGGTGTGATTCCTCAGGACTCTGTTGGCAATTGTCATCCAGTGCTTTAAGCACCTCCTCTGGCGGTCAGTAGAGATGAAATAGAACGAAAGTTACGACTGTAACTACGGTTCTATGAATCCCGGATGATTTCCAGAGTGTTCGGTCCCTCGGAATCATCGCATTTCGCGAGAAGATTAAGGGACTGGGCATCCTTTGTCACGTTCTTATATAGACTCAACGGTGTCCCGGGGGTCACACGTGACTATGTTGGCATAAAATACACGACCTGCGCATGTGCAAGAATGATCATTCAGTGCTTTAAGCACCGCCTCTGGCAGTCATCCGGGATTCATAGAACCGTAGTTACAGCGGTAACTTTCGTCTCCCTGCTTTGACTCACCTGATTTGAATGAGTGAGTGATTAGCAGGCTTCTGCAGAACTTGAGGAAGTAATTAAATCACTAAATCAGGTGTGCTTTAGCAGGAAACAATTGAAACATGCAGGATGGTCTTCCTCAGGGACCAGGGTTGGGAACCATGGCAGAGTCATCTTCTGTATGATATATTTTTGAATATGTTTAATAAAATCACATCTTTTCACTTTGACCCCCCCCCCCCCCCCGCTCCCCCTTCATTTAACTGTTGGTGACTTGTGGTGATGATATTTATATAGATGTCGGAAAATATCCACTGTGTTGGTATTTATGTATCAAATTACATAAACATTGTGTGTGTTCATGTTGCTAGCCCACATGCTGATTTAGCCGAAGCGTTTATTTTTAACGTGGTCGTACATGTTTTTATAACTTGATGAAATCCAGTGAATTAAATAAAAACATGTTTAAATATACTCTTTAGCATGCTACTGCTGTAGCACAGTTAAAGCATGAAAAGAGGCTCTCTGTGAGTATGTGAAGCTAAAGGCTAACTTTAGTATGCTAACAAGCTAGCACTGACAAAGCTAAAATTATATTTTATTTTTGAGAATGCTAACAATAATCACTTCTGACTTGACCTTAAAAAAACACCAATATTTAGTGGAAAATGACCAGTTACTATTATTATTATTACAGTTTAAAGGCTAAATAAACAGCTACAGCAGCTAGCTGGTTAGCATTTTGTTATGTAGCTCAGCAATAACTGCACACAAACGTAGATAGCATAAAATATATTATAGCTGTGTCCAATAAAAATAAAAAGCTACTGTAGATAATAATCCCTCACCGTGGAGGGACAAGGAGACTTGGAAACAGCTCCTCAACACTCATTCTTTCCAGGATCTGTCTCTCTGCTCCATCTCAGACAAGAAAAAAATCCTCCCTCTGTTCTTCTCCTCAGTGTGACTCCTCCACCTGAATATCTCGCACCAAAAACATTTAGGTTTACTTCATTCTCTGTTCAGCTCCTATCCTGAAAAACACTCATCTCCAGAACTACAAACACTAGCTGTCCAACCCCTCAGAGACGGAGACATCAGGTCAGATCTACAAACACTCATTGTCCAACTCCTCAGAGACGGGGACATAGGCAAGCTGCTTGTAGAAGGTGAACGTTGGTTAAACGGTCCATTGGACTCAATTCAGCAGCGCCGTGTCCAGATCAGGTTGTCCTTTCTGATGGTATCAGTACGATCAGCAGTGATGAGGGACCAAGACCAGGATGAGGACCAGGATCAGGCCTCGGATCAGGGTAAGGCTCAGACCGCAGCTGGTTCTCTGGAGAGGTTCTGCTCCGTGTTCCACGTCTTGTCTGTAGACCGCAGCAGAGACGGAGGGAGGGACACCACGGTAACCTAGCAACAGGAGGTGGAGGGACACTATGGTAGCCTAGCAACAGGAGGTGGTGAGGTCATAAAACATGTTGAGACGAGACCAGTGTCCTCCTCAACAAAAGTCTCCTCGTATCTCTGAAGACACCAGCAGGGCTGGGACTGCAGTGTCCTCATGTGAGACGGTGTCTGTCCTTCAGTTCTGTGTCCACCCGCTGATGTCCTGCAGTCTTGTGCAGATCCTGTTTATTATTATTTGTTTATTTATTTGTTTGTTTGTTTCTGAAAGGTTCTGGAAACAGATGTCTACAGTTGACTGGAGTTAGAAAATCTACTCAGAACCACAGCCTGGTGTCTGACCTGGTCCTGGTTCTGTTGTCTGACCCGGTCCTGGTCCTGTTGTCTGACC